AAGAGCATTAGCTCGTATTAACATACTAGCTCTAACATGTTCTACAGGTAATTGTTTACCAATACTACATTTGTGACCCCAAATTAAATTTTTTTGGAGCAAGGTAAGTTCTTCAATTGACAGATGTTTTTTGGCCATACCACCAAAATTGGTATTAACTCCGTAGATAGTCTTTCCTTCGGCGATAGCATTGTTAATATAAATATTCGAGGTTGTTACTTTTTCTCTAATGGCGTTATTAGTGGTGAGACGAGCTTCACGACGAAAACGAGCCACCTGTATCACATTTTCAATGGTTAAGCCTTCACCTTCAATTTCAATAGGATTTGATTTTTGCAAATCTCTCGCCACTTGAGGCATGTCAATGCGCGTATCTAATTTTTGAACCAAATTTCTTTGAATCTCTTTCGGAGGTTCTAGTTGCCGTTGAGTCGCATAATCACGGTTAAATATGTTTATCATATATCTTGATGTTCTAAGATTGAGACATTGAAGCATTGATGTTTTTGAGACGTGATATAGATTCTGAAGCATCTTTACAAATTGTAATGGTGATCTGAAAAAGTAGTGTGTGAAGCGTACTATTTATAATAAGGTAAGAAGTATATTTGGTTTGATGCAGATTTTATTGCAAAGCGAGACCAACTTGATTCAATTATTTACACTATCCTTTCCCCCTTTTACTTCCCTCCTCACCATCTTAGTGAAAAAAAATTAAATATATACAGGGTCAGAAAATATCGGAGGTTTGTCATTATTTCGGAAAGTTTTTGCGAAGTAATTTCCTTAAAATTTTATTATGAACTCATCACTCACTCCCTTTTTGAAGAAGGATACACTAAATTAAATTGGTATGGCTTAAATATAACATGATGCACTATCTGAATCGAATAATTTTAGTACCATTTGGTTCGTCTCATTGAAACGAATTGAATGATATTAAAATAATTCTGATCACTGGATCACAAGTATTTTTACTTAAAAGATCATTAAAAAAAGTTTTAATAAAATGCTTAAATTAACGTACTATTAATATCTTAAGATATCTTTGTTTTAGATATGTTACAATTATTTTCCATTGAAAATTGAAACAAAAAAATATACCTTTCATTCAAATAACAATATCTCATGATCTAGTGATTAGGACTATATATACAGAATAGAGTTGCCTGCCGTAATTAATTACAACCTTTACGACATATAGGTTGCAATACAATTACGGCAGGCAACTCTAATGCAGAAGTCTTTTTGATTTTTAAACGGCTGCCCTACCTTGTTTAGTGTGTCGGGTTTGCATAAGGAGAGCTTCTTCCTGCGTTGATATAATTAGAAATTTACTTTTTATTCGCAACGCAGGAAGAAGCTCTCCTTATGCGTCAGGCAAATGTTAAAAATCGAAAAAACCTCTAGTTGTACCAAAATTCGATTAAATTTGATAGATTACGAGATATCACAGGCATCAAATTGGGCATACCTATCTTATGTATTAATATGTATTGTCTTATTTAAATTTTTATATTTCAAGCATCAGGTGTCAGCTACATAATAATAATCATTTGACCAGATCAGCCTAAACTGTAACCTGACCAGGGTTGTAGCTTTACTGTGGTAAATTACCGACCGGGGTAAAATCGCCATCCAAAAAAAGTTTCGTGCATCGCGTGACAAATATATCGAGCACTAAAAAATTCATGTAACTTGAACAAAAAATACAACCGAAAAAAATTTATAGACCAACAAAAATAATAACGACAAGCAATAAATTAAACATTTTATTTATTTCAATAAACTTAATATTTATTACAGCCAGAAAGTATTACGATTACAGTTTTTTTAAGTATTTGGAATATTCCATTGTCTTTTAAAATGATTATAAACCTCCTCTAATTTATGCAATTATTCAAAGTTGTTATTAATACTATCGATCCATTGTTACTATTTGGATTCGGATTCAATATTGTTTCTTCAATAATTTTTTTTTGTTGCGTTCCGGATTTAGGATTATAAAAACTTTTTGCTCAAATAAAAATAATCAGAGTTATAGTCTTCCGGAAGAACATTATGATGTAATTGCATTTCCTTGATTAGTTTATTTCGACTTCATTCTTTTTTTTCGTTTATTATTTGGTTACGGCAATCAATATATATTTTTAGAATATTGTGTTTATTGGATTTTATTCTTTTAAAAGAATCACTTGGTTTGTCGAGATTGCAACGATGACTTTTCATTTTGAAGAAAAAAAAATCACTTACTAAATCAATTAACTAAATCAATTAATATTTACTAAATATTATTATTATCATGATCCTAATCATGATGAATTGACAATATCACATGATTTTTGAACCTTTTTGAGTGGCAATTTTACCCCGGTCATAAGTTAACCATGAATTTTGATGGTAAGTTACCAAATGCTTGCATAAAACACGGAGGCTTTCGGAATAAAACTGTCACCGGTAACTTACAGTAGTGACACAAATCGATAAAAATTTTTCAATAGATTTATTAATAAATTATTTTATTCGGCTAATTGACTAATCGATCATATATAATTTTATAAAAAAAAAAAATCCATCATTTAGAACTCGAAACTTTTAAATTTTTATTCTTGATTATTATTTAAAACAAAAATTTAAGTTACATACAAATATAGTAAATATTCATGGCTTATTTTAAAAACTTATATTAATATTCTTTTTTGGTCATATTTACACTATTTGAGGGAAAACCCATATATCTAAAAATAGACTAGATTACTGTATTATGAAATTCATAATAATTTACTTCTAGATATACGGGTTTTTTCGACTCGACTACGTAAGTCAACATTTAAAATTTGGCTTAGCCGATATAACTATCAGGTTAGGGAGCAGCAAATATAAGGGCAAAGATAACTCAGGATAGTTAACGAATGTAAAAAGATGTACGTAAATAGATAGAGAAAATAATGGATAAAGTTATCAAGAAATAATGAATGAACGCACGAAACTAATACAATGCGATAATAAATAATATTGTTAAGAGATATGATATAAATAAGAATCTTAAGAACCTTTATTTATAAAGGAGAAACGCTTCAGATGGAATCACCTGTAGATGCAAGCAAGGCGAATTCGATGGTCTTTTATAATTATATAATTTCCCCTAATACTAGTACAACACCATTATACCTTTATTAAATTTTGATTTTTTGAAGAAATATGATTATAATGAAGTTACTATAAATATAATTATTTTGTTATTATATTTTAAATAGGAAATTTTATTTTCGCCCAGGTTAAGGTTAAAGTTACCCGAAATATTACTAAACCTAGTAATTTTAATTACGTGACATTATAGTGATTTTAACCTGGGTAAATAGAATTTCCCATATATTTACGATATTTTTATTATATAATTAAAAATATAGTTATAATAACCTTAATATGTACGTACATTAAAATTATTTAAATACACGTCACTCTTGGTATAATGGACCACCGATATAACGGATATTGCTTAATATGGAGATTTAGTATGGAACAAAATTATTACTAATAAAATTATTTCAATATATCAGAGATTATTAGTAATCTCACGATATAACTTTTTACTACCACTTTTTATTGGTTATAGCAATATCTAATTAAAATATTAGATAGCTACGTATTCGATGTAGTTATATGTACAAAAATAGAAATTAGAATGATTTTAAGATATAATTTGTTTAAATTATTATTCGCTAACATTAGAATACATATTGTTAAATTGGTTTAATCTGTGTAAAAAAAAACATAACTAAGCAATAACAAATTCTATACAAAGTTTCAAGTATTTCATATATTCTCAGTATTTACTGTATTCTTATTCTTAGTAGTTTACTATATTTCTAGTAATTTTAAACATAATTTAGTTTCAATTTTAAGCAAGGTTAATTTACAAGCATATTTTTAAGATTGAAGTCACTATGTTAGATCAGAATTGAAAAATGTGCAGCATGAGATTTTTCTAATTTTTCTTATTATTCTCTATTATTTCTATATCTATATGCACTTTGTTTTTATTACTATATTTCTAGTGCATGATATGTTCAAGACAAATAGGACTCAGAAAAAATAGCCTATTACTATATTAAAAAAGAAAGTTAAACATTAATAATTGTAACTAATATATTTCAAGTACTCATATAGTTAATTTTAGATTCTTGGTTTCAATCTCTTTTATCACTACAGCTAATTTTATATTAAAGAAATAATAATTATTGTTGAGTAACTAATATTTATACAATACAAATCATACTTAATGCTACTATTAAATAGTTTACAAGTATTACTGCTTTCTTATCTATAATATCTTGACTAATTATTATATATTATAATATAACACATATAACCATATATTAGTTATCTATTAATTTTAGAGAGATGAGTTAAAGTTAATAGTAATCAATAAATTTGGTGAATTTAAAAGCAAAATTACTTGTATATAACCGGTTATTGTAATTTGATTTTTTTTAGCAATCCTTCCTTTATTATTTAAATTGGCATAGATATACAAATAGAGACAAAGCTATAAGACATTTTTATATAAATTTGTATTAATAAAAAATTACTCAATTATTAAAACAAAAATCTAAAAATAGATTCTGCAAAAAGAACACAAATGCAACCCATCTAAGTAGTATATTTTCTTATTTGGGATCCTTAACTTACTAAAAATTTAAATTCTAGAAGTCTATAGTAGGTAATTACTAGTTTTGTTAAGATTACTGTTCTATATAAAATATCACCAATACCTTTTATTTGCAAAAATTTTGCATTTTTCTGGGGTTCTGGCCCTCTAGGACGTCCAAATCTGCAGATCCCTATTACAAATCAATATTACTAATTAATTTACACAAAATATATTTTTAACTTTAATTTTAAATTTACTATTCTTGTCTTAGTAACTTTACACAACTTTTGTTACACTACCATTATATCACACCAGGTTATACAAGTATACCAGCTATATCAGCCACAATATTTTACCTTATTGTTACACAAGGTTACACAAGGTTATACCTATTAGCCACACTAGTCGCAACTCAATTTAACCTCATTTTTAGTTTAACCCTAAAAACAACTTTGTTGAATTTAACTATTATAAGTTTTTCTTAGTTAAATCTATAATTACTTTATTACTACAATGTCTACTTTGACTAACCAAGAGCCAGACCATTATGATTTGGACTATTTTCATAACAAATATAGTGACCGTTATGGTGCATTAATTCGTGACACTCAACCTAGCCAATTAAAAGCAATGCCCTTTGTATTCAACCCAAGTGAATGCAATTTTATTAAAACTCTCTATTATTTCCGCATATCTGAAGAACCAACTATTGTTCACTGCTTCTGTCATAAATACCATATCTACTTTACTTCAAGTTACTTGAATATTCCACCCAGACAAGCTACTCCTCCTTCTCCTCAACAATCTAGAGCAATGTATATCGAGTTAACCTCCAAACAAGTTAAAAATCTTAAAGATAATATCCCACAATCTCCTGTTG